AAACTGTTCGGAGTTTGGTATCTAAAATAATCGTTACGGTTGCAATAATTGTTAACCGGTTCTCTCTCAGTTGTCGCTATTATTTCATGTTATTACGCGTGGCTATTCATTCGTTTTTGTTTGACAACGTTACGAAAAGGTCGATTCCATGTTTGCGCTTGACGCTTTGTCCGCACGCGACGTTTGATATTTCCGAATGACGTTCGATATTTCCCAAGAAAATAATAATGCTTCGTCGTGTTTCACTGGATTGCGTTTTTTACTCCTCGCGATCAAAGGAACATTTCGTTTCTTTTAGAAATTCCGAAAGTAACAATGGAAAATCAGGTGTCGCTTTTGTTCGCCATAAAAATTCTCCTCGTTATCATTGTTCCCGTTGGCATGCATCCCGCGCGATATCAACGAATAATTTTTTAACGTCAGGCATTAGCCTCTAGGCGCAGAGTACATTGAAAAGCGTCCTCGTCGTTAAGTCAATGCGTTCGTTGATGAATGATCATGACTTAATGCAACGTCGATAAAGTGATTCATGGAGGAACCTGCGCATAGAAATATTTCGTAGAGATAGGCCGCTCGCATCCGGTGTTTGGCCCGCGCTGAACGATTCGCAATCCCTCCGTATATAAATCGAAATCACGGCTCGTATTTGGAAACTTCCGATTCCAATTTCGATCTACAAACAGGCCCAGCTATTCTTTTCGATTCTCCTGTTTTCACTCTGGCGAGATCCAAACGCTTATCTTTGATATCAGACGCGGATTAATGTCAATTTAAACGAATTATCGCGTCGCGCTTCTTCGAAACTGTTTTATTGAAACTGACTCGATGGTAAAGTTTAAAAGAAGTTGAATAGCATTAAAGTTTCTCGCGGAATGCATAAGCGAAAATAGAAGCGGCCACTACCGTTGTTAACCGAATTATCTCGCGTTCTCATTCCGGATCTGTTTAAATTATTGGAAGAACGATTAAGTGTAATACGATCACTGGACGGTCGCCTGTCAAGAACGACGTGTTCCGGTTACAGTTTGTCATGAATTATTCTTTCTGATGTACAACGATTCCATTGAACACCGTACCAGAGTTTTGCTCCCGATCTTATTGAATGAAATTCTTTCTCGGACGACAACGTTTGCAAGAGTGCTTGAGAATAAAAACCGATGGAGATGGAAAATCTTGCGCGATAAAGCTACGATGGATACGACTTAATAATTCAACAATCGCGATCCCTTTCGTCGCCGAGGCGAGAGGATACGGCGCACAAAAGAACTCTATCTGCTCGCAAGGAGACTGGCTCCCTCCCTCCCTCCCTCAGGAATCAAAGCGGAAAGAAATACCAAAACGAACGGGGTTTTTCGTTCGCATCAATATTTCCAAACAAATCTGCCGGATCGGTATGCGAGCGGTGTCTCTCCCACGCTGATCCCAGCTCTTCTTATCCGTTTCCGCGCTCGGCCCCGAAACACTTTCGGAATCCTCGAGACTGGAGCAAGCACTCGGCAATGTTTTCGTCCGAAATCGTCATACAGCGTCGCGTAATCCGAAAGAGGGTGCGACGGAAGATAGATAGGAAAGAAGAAGAATAAGTAGAAGGTAGAGATAGGAAAAAAGGGTGTAAGGAAGGAAAAGCGGGGGTGGGTGGTAAAATCGTGGGTGCCGGTGGGGGTCGGTGGTACCTGGTGCGCTCGCGCGCCACACCGACGACGTGGAGGCTGATAGCAGCGTGCGCGCAAAACTCCGGCCGTTGGAGAACCGAATGGTGCCGAATGGTATGAGTACCGGTGCCTCGTGTACACATCCTTGCGCACCGTCGCTGGCAGCACCTAGCCTGGTGCTGGTGCCACGACAACGAGCTGCTGCTGCTGCTGCTGCTGCTGCTTCACCCTGTCGCTTCCCAGTGTTGGCGACGGGGGTGGTCGGGGTGGTGGTAGAGGAAAACCGGTGGTGGTGGTGAACGCGATAGTGGGGGTAGGATGTCGGAGGGTTGCTGAAGTTTCCCTAACGCTCGATGGCGTACCAGTGCGGATCGTGATTCTGTGGGACGTGTAGCGTCGCGGCGCTCTACCCTGTATAGCTTCTACGTATCATCCGTCCGATCGACGTGTCGTGGACGTATGGTCGAATCGTAACCGGCGGTCGATACCTCGTACGATGATTCGAGATGAAAATCGCGAAGGGTCATTGCAACGATCGTCACGACGGGTGACGTCGGTGTGTCGCGTGCAATTACATTGTAACGGAAGTGAGGATTAATAGAAGTTCGGAGAAACTCCCGCGCTCGCCAGAGTTAGTCTCTGCGTGTTTTCTCAGTCCATCCCGGGTCTCCTCGCTACCCGCGTTTTTGGCCTGTTTGCGCCGGAAACCGGACGGTGACCGGAAGGTACGAGATGACACGCATAAGAAAAGAATATTTAGAAATTAAATTGTTCACGCGCTCCGATGGGAACGTTCTACTTTCTTTTCGAGCATGTTTTCTATGTTTGTAATGAGACAGGGAGGGAAACGAGGAGAAAGAAAATTGCACGATGATAACCAGAGTGAACCCCTTTTTCATTTCTCTCCATTTTTTGCCTCCTTTTTGTTCTTCCCTCTCCCCATTTTCTGTAATACGTCCCATTGAAAAGTACCGCTCATTTTCTCTCGCGTAATTTTCTGCCCGCTAAAAGTGTGAACGCCCCGGCCCCGCATTGTTCGCTCTTTCACCCGCTAAATTAATGATTCGAATTCGAATTTCTCTACGCGACTTGGTTTAATCGCTCGAAACTGTTGCGTGGCCGTACGCGCGTACAAGCAACGAGCTTTCACAGCTTCTGTGATCCAATCCGGATTCGGTGATTTCTACTCAATGCCTGTGACAAACGGCGAATCGGGAGTCGCGTCGCTTAACGCGAATCCTACATACACAGATCTAATCAGCCGATCAATTCTTCCCAAGCGTATATCGAAAGCTGTGTAACGTGTTTTTTTTTTTATCGATGACGAGGAATCAAATTACTAATTACGCAGCCATGTTTGTTAATCAGTACTTCACTGTGAAACGCTAATAACGTACTTGACGTTACTTGTTTATGCAATACGATATTTCTCATCGACGAGAGCGAATCATCGGTCAGTACGATGATCCGTGACGCGTGAAAAAAAAAAGCAAGAAAATTTATGCATCGTGCCATTTCGAATCGGAAATTGGACAATGCGGACTGCGATCGTTATAACGTAGATTTCGATTCGGCGCGTCCTCCCGGGAGAAATTTAAACGACGCGCGAACCTTGTAAAAAATGAGTCCTTGTCGAATCGAACGCTGGAGAACAATCGAGATCGTGGAGGGGATTGAACGATCGACGATTCACTTTGGCGACGCGATAAACGAATGATTAAAATGTAATTTCCGCGCGAGCTCATAAATTTTTTTAATGGACGAACGAGTTATTAACCCGGGCGTCGTCGTCCGCCGTGTCTCTTTTTTCTTTTATCGGTTTTCATCGTAACTCGGTTCGAACGTTATCTTCATCGTTTCCTTCGGCCGTCGACGTTCTCGTGACGGGGCTCGATATCGGGGGAAAAACGAGAGATCCGATGGTCGCCCATGCGATGCGTCTTCGTGACCTTGAGCACTCAGGATCTCGAGGCCAGATAGTGGCTCGCTCGACCGGGACCGATAAAATTCTCGATCGGGCGGTTAACCAGCGGGCAGAGAACTGGATCCTTCTTCGATCCGCCCCGCCGCGATCTAGACTCCCGATCGCGAGGTGAGGAGAGAGAGAAACTCGTAAAGAGGCCGGCCAGACTCATTGTCAGTGGTATTTCCAATTGGCTCGTTGCGATCTCCGAGGAAACCGGTTCGACGACCGGCTCCGACTCCGATCCTTTTTCTTCTTCTTTCTCTCTTTACCGTGCTCTTCTCCGCCGTGCTCACTCTCCCTTCTGGTGAACGTTTCGACTTCTCTCCGCGTTTGGCTACCAGTCTCTCCGTTTGTGTTTCAGTGTTTACGTACTGCGATCGGAGGAGGACTACGCGCAATTGTGGTCGGCTGCAACTATTCCCGATTCAACAGTTGGAGACGATTTTTCGAAACGGATACCATACGGAGGCGGCGGTGGCGCGTGGAATTTGTCAAACCGTGAAAAATGTTGATTATTATGCTCCACCTTTGATACGGAGCGCGAGACCACGAGAAAGCACTTGCCGAAACTTCTTCCCCTGATGTGCAAACTTTTCTCCGGAGCGATCCAGCCTGAAGATCCTTTTTCTAGTTCTGTGAGAGGAATGGCGTGAAAATCTCGGCGAACCGCTTTATTCCCTCTATCTCCTGGACGTCTGCGAGGTACGCTCGGACGCTCGCCGGAAGAAAGGGGTGCGCCACGATGAATGTTCCGTTTGACGTACGTCGCGAAGGTACGCCTTCCAGGATCGTGTGTGCCAAGGAGACCGAGATTTAAAGACTTCTGGCCGAGACCTCTGCACTCTCCCAAACACTGCCAACGTTGCTATTAACACTGTTACCCGTACTTATACGCGTGATTCAATATTAGTGTCTTTCGTTAAATAAGAAGATAAGTGTAATCTAGTGAATCTGAGGAATCCTCTGGCTAGTTAGCCCGACGTTCCAGAAACGTTCAAGAATTCTGCGGTTTGAAGAAGAAGGTCATCGCGAAGAGGCTCGCTTCCGTAGATCGGCGCAGGCCGCAAGAAAGCGCCTTAAAAGCTTGATTAATTGCGCTCGGAGGCAGCTCTGTGACCGATGCACGCCAACCATGCATCGTTCGGGCTTCGCCTCTAGCTCCAGAAATAGCAGACCGGTCATCGGTTCCAGCAAATCAGAAACAGCTGGCCTCGTGACACTCCATAAGACGATAGTGCATCGCCGTTATTAAAGAGGGACGACGTTCACCGTTTAGTGAAGATACGAATAACAGTTAAAGTCGGAACGAGGTGAAAAACGCGATACACTGTGCTGGAGAATGGGGCGGGAGGGTGGGGTGGTGGGAGTAGGTGATTCAGTACGGAGCGTACGCGGTTAGTATCTGACCGGTCGCGAGAACGTACACAACGCAGGCGGCGACGCGTTCGCTCGCGCGCCCACCCCCTCTTTCAGTGTTTAGAGTGTGTGTCCTTCGCGAGGTCGTTCTTTTGTTAGCTAGTCGGTGCTCCGAGCACGCATCCCAGCGGGGATCGCGTGCCCACGGTGTCCGTGTACTACGACGGCCGCTTAACCGTAAGTGTAACGAAACTTTCTGTATCGTCCTTAGCACGCGTGGTCCGCGCGCGACATGACCCGTGCGAAGGTCGCGAGATCGGGAGTGCGTAACCGGTGTGGCCATCCGCGATTTCGATGATCCATTCGTTCGTTTCGGTTCACGTGAATAGAGAGACGAAGTGCGCACAGGGGACGAATATTGAAGTAGAATCGGATTGGTAACGTTGATCGCAGCTGGCTAAGATCAACGATTCCCGGGCCGTCACCAGCCCGGAGACGAACGTCGTCAACACCATGTGGTGGCTGAGGACGCGGTTTATCTACACCTATTCCCTATGGTTCGTCTTCAAGGCCGCAGCGGTCAGCGGTGTTTTCGGTGAGTACTTGTTTACTTAACTGATCGGTAAAACATTTTATTAGAAAAACGAGTTTTACTGCGCATTAATTCCCGTGTACGTGACACACGATTATATCGTCATGCGCTGGCTTATTTTCACCGTCGAGAGTAACAAGGTTGCACTTCTTTTTTTCTTCGCCGTGCTCTGGGTGCAAAGACTGCGTTACACAAAAACTAGGGCCGCCTTTGTGACACGGTTTCACGCGAAATCGTTCGCTCGCCGAGCTTTTTAATTACCTTTTGCAAATTACACTTTCCCTTTATGCCACCGAGAAACTAATTTCAATTCCCGACGAAATTCACGACTTGGGTTTCGTCGTTCCTGTAAAATTCTGTATCTACGTGGTAACAAGTAGTTTAATAACTCATGTACTATGGATGTTTCTAGTTAGTATTGGATTGTGCTAATAACCGTCACTTTATCGTCATATTCGCACGTCAATTTTCGTCGCACTATTCTTTGCCGATAATTGAAAACGCGTTTTCTCAATGCAATGATTCGCTTTTGAAAATGAGTAAATTAGTACGGAGCGACGCATTGTTACGCGGGATGTCACGTCGATGTCACTCAAATCCTTTCATTGTGGGGGAAAGTCGATGATTTCGGGAAAGCGTGTACACACGAGCATTGGGAGTTAAATTGAACACGTACCATTTTTTATGGATTACTTCCGGCGCATTCTTCCTGCTACAAAAGAGTGGCATCGTATTGCGCGTGTAATTCACTGTCAGCGGCGGTGGCAGCCGCGGCAGCCGCGAAATAAGGGAGCGAACGGGGTGAAACGTAAATAAAAGCTGCCTTTTGTCGAAACGTGAAAACGTGCTCGAGAAACGTCGCCGCGCACCACGCTTATTCAACCTTTATTTCCATAGCGCGATTATTTTTCTTGTCATCTCTCTACTTCGGCTCTCTCAATCGACTTTGAGAACGGGCGAAATTCCCTTAAAGGTCATTAAAATATATCATTTATTCGAAATCGTTGGCCCATAATCGCGATTGTTATCGATCGTTAAACGGCAAGTTCGATTCTTTAGTAGGCACTAATTGCGCTCATGATGAACGACCCGTTGGGCATCGTTCGAACAAAGGATAACCGTAACCTCATCAACGGTAATGCCTCGTCAGGCAGCTGATAAAGCTAACCGTAATGTTCATGAAATGTCTGAACACTGATAGAGGCGTCTCCGTAATTCTTCTTATCGGTTCATTTATATTTATCACGGTACTTCGATACTTGAAATAATTTAACCTGCTGTTTTTTAATTTAAATCTGCACGATTAAAACCGATGGAATTCAGATCGTGTGATTTTTATGTAAAACACTTGCGATGTCAATTTCGAGAATGAAATTTAAATGTTATGCATACGTTCTTGCATAGTACGTGGACTCTTTATATTTGCAAATTCTTGAGGCATAAAATCTATAGTCTAGATATAATGATACCAAGTCCACCTGTAAATATTTTTAACTTTTCATGACAGTAACACGCTCATCAGATCGGACGTGTTTGTCAATTCATAGATATGCGTGGTGAGAGATTATATTACCGCTCAGTTAATCGCTAGCTTACCGCTCGAAATTAATTAGTAGCCGTGGTGAACCACGTTTCGTATGCTTCTAAATACCGTTTGCCATTTTCGGCGTACGACGCACCGCAACAACTGGCTTTTCTCCGTCAATCGTTCACCGCATTGTTGCTACCGTTGAAATTTAAATGTAAAATTCTAATTCTAATTGTTATTCCATAGGAATTTCTATTCCTACGAAGGGCATCAGTATATAAAATAAAAATTGCTTCCGTACTTACAATTAGAGAATTACTTGAAAAATTGCGTGAAGATGTTAGAACGTGCTTACGGTATTCAATTCTGTAATCGCTTATTTTAAAATCGAAATTCTTCCCGATAATGTAAAATTGTAGCAAACGGAGAAAAAATAATAAATCTTTGCGTGCATAATGCAAGGGAATAAACGCGATGATCGCGGGGGTGAATTGCCACGCGGTTACGTCGTCGTTTCGCAGTAAGTCAATAGAATTTCTATTACGGTGAACGTCGCATCTGCGAGCTCCCGCGGAGAGATTTGAAAGTATGTTTCGATTAAAATACAATTAAGCCAGAATTCATAGGGCGGCAAATTAAATTAACATAAATTAGCATCGGGAGCGCCGCCGGTCGGTTCCCTCGTATTAAATTTTATTTATGCGAGGAACGCGGAAGTAATGTGTAGGGAGTAGGGAATCTGCAATTAATGAATGGCCGATATCCACCGCGTTCCAACGCCGTCCTGACCCACCCTCCACGCGATTAACTATGTTTTTACATTGCGTTCACGCTCGGACGGCTCGGGAATTCTCGTTTACGACTCCGTTGAAACGCGTCAGCCTAAGAGAAGTGAAATTTATACTAATTCACGGAAAAACTGCTTCTCATTCACTGTTTTAACATCGGCCACGGAAAGCTGTAGCTGCAAAGTATATTACGCTCTCTCGTTTTACTGCGCGTCGCGATTTCTCTTCTATTTTCATGAATAAGGAATTTTCAATTTGCACCACCGGAAAGAAACCCCGCGCGCGTCAGCTGGGCTTTCTAGTCGCATTTTTACGCGACGATCAAACTTTAAATAAAGGAGAATTCGCGTGCGTACGGATCCATGATGGCCTTTCGTCCTTTAAACGACGCATTAATCTTCTGGACGTTCGATTCGGTCAGATAAATCGAGTTATTGAAACAGGGGTAAATTTTTTGTCGCGCGAGGTTGCTCACCTGGATAAATCGTGAATAAATCGACCGTGCTATTCGTACTGTAATATTTCCAAATTCTGGCAATCACTATTGCATTAACTTTGAATTCGGTGAACGTCACGAGACAGTTATTCCATTCGGGCTATCATTTATGCATTCCAAGGATATATTTGCTCATATTTAACGACAGTTCAACCAGTACATTTTTTATTTGAATTCCATCATTCGCGATCCTAGACATTCTGCGGATGTTAGACATTAATAAAACACGATCGAAAGAAATATCATTATGTTTTAAAGTGACGTGGTAAATATTTTATTTCGCTCAAAAAAGTGTACTAATGGCAAAGAAATCGACCGGTCGTACTTTCCACAAGTCTCGGCGTAGTACTCGGCCGTCGATCATCGATATCAGATAAAATATTTTCAATATCCGCGCTCCGAAACACTGTTTCCAGTTGCAAAACGAAAAGATGTCGCAGATGTAAATACGTTCATGCTGGCAGAGATCGAAATGGGAAATGTACAATACTTAAAGCGCCGCGAGCGGAGTACGCGCTTAAGTCCAACAATCGATTCCGTTTCTGAAGGCGCGCGTCACTACGTTTTGTTCTCCGACTTACACGCGGAAAGAAAACCAGCCGGCTTTAATTACGCGAATGCGTCGTATTAGAATCGAGTAGATATACATGATACAAGGTTCTTGGCCTTTCATTTGTACATTTTCTTTATGGAAGGGAATACTAGGTGCAGTGAATGACTGGAAGAACAAACAGCACTTATTGTAAAGATTTTTATTCATGATAGGATATTTATTTAATACACTGATAAAGCGTCGCATTAATAAAAATAACAATCATTGGTCAAGTGCCTAGTTAGTAGAAATAATAGTAGTTGACGATTAAACCTTGAACGTTCGTCGTTTCCGTTAATCTGGATCGTGAGGGATTTTGGAGTTGGTCGAGATAAGTAGGTATTCTTCAGATAAGTTACGGTGCTCAAAGAATTTCGGGGTGGAATATCGACAAGCCGAGTGATTTATCGTAGATTAACGAGTAATTCATAGATCTCGATATTGGCCGTTATGCCCGGGCCGCATTAGCCTGTACCTATCGGACAAGACACTAAGCGTTATCGATTATGTCATCGAGGCAGGATGGACTGTCTCGGCCCGGAAGGGTAGTACTTGCATCTTACGCTATGCTATATCTCCAAAGTTATTGCCTCGACTTTATTGTTCTGCAGAAAGAACGGTAATCAAAAGTTTATCTCCAGCGATGCCGCGAATGCTAATAAACAAAATTCGTTTGTTTCGCGAGAACTCGGCTGGAATTCCGTAATAAATAAATTCTCGATCAAGTCTTTATCTCGGTATCCCTTCGATTACGAAATCTTTCCGTTGGATTCAGGTCGGTTTCCGAAAGAATATAAACGTTGCTGGGTAGGAAAACTTTACCACGGAACGACTTGGCAAGGGATTCGAGGAACATTAAGCCTTATTGGCAACACGCTTCTTTCTGCAAAGTGTTTTAAACAAGGGAAGTTGAATAGGAAAGCCCGGCCGCGATTGTTATTATTACAAGCATGAATGATTCTCTGGAGAACACAGGCCTCGTTACTCATACAACCTGTTCTGTAGTAATGGTGAACTGAGACGTTCACTTGTTTATCCTTGAGACGCGTAGAACTTGTTCAATCATCTTCTTTCGAAACGCATCTGGTCGGACTTGTTTTCACCGCATTCCGCTACACAGTTTCTTGTTTCCCTGTCAAGCCACCGCAGTTTTAATAAGCGCGGTTCTGATCTCTTAATTCCGATTCGTGTTCAGGTGTATCGGAAAAATATTGAAAGGTGTCGAGTCATTAATACTGACATTGCTATCTAAATTGAAAGATTATAGTAAATCATATGATAAATTATAAATAGTTTCAATAAAATTGCACCTTAACTGAATATAAACAAGTTTCAAGTAATGATTTCAAGGATAAATGAATATACTCTAAATATATTATAAAGTAGAATTTCATACATCATCATGTATGTATTTCTAAAGTATAAGACAAATTCTTTTGATTATTCATTGAAACATAACAAGTTATCATTTGCCCATTGATGTTCTTAGAAAGTCTCGTTCAGTTATACGTCTCGTAACATATTCTAAGATTTACATACGGGCGTGCACGACGAGATACACATTTAACTGCATAGGCAGCGTGCGTGTATAATGGAACG